GGCTGTGCATGCAGTGCCTTTGGTTCCTGGTAGGAATCTGCCTGTTTTGTACCTGTTTTGGTACTTGGTATTTGCTCTTCTGGCGTGCGTATGGAGTGATGGCGTCTGTTCGCGGTTTGTTGTGATCTCGGTGAGGTGATGGAGCTTGCGGTTCACATGATGTTTCGGCTTGCGACGCGTATACACTAATTCAAACCTTCCTTCAACCTTCTTCAGCTTGCTACATTTCATTCATAATACATGTCGGTATGTACCCCTACTCCAGAATTATGTTTTTTTACTCCAGGGTGACCCCAACGTGGTCCCTGTGATGGGAGCCTGTCCGTGTTATTTCGGATTTCGCACTGTTTGAAGAGACCGCGGCAGACCCCACTGTGACGCTTGCTCCTGGCGAAAAAATAATGTGCAAGTTCTCATTCGCAAGCATGAATCTGCTATAGTTTGCTTCTGTTTTGTGACTACTACTAGGTGGAGGCCATCGCTATTAGGTTGGAGGCCATCGCTACTTGTAACAAGAAGCTATGTGATTCCAGTGCTGTTTTTCCAATCGTGGCCAGATCTGCGATTTCGGGCTGACTGAGTCCATGGAGATGCTCGGCCTAGGAGAAGGGCACCTTTGGATGGTCATTTTGAGCTCCCACATGAGCCATCACATTGGTTGAGGCAACTAATTAGGTGATTGAATAATATTGAATCCCAATACATCCGGGACGAAAAAAAATGCATAAATCCGCCGGAAACTGAAGCTGCTGAGGCGCTTCATCACTTCGGGTCGGGCCTTCCCCAATAGCACATAGTGCTCACTTAGCTTTGTTAGCATTTCGCACGTCACCGACAGGCAAAAGTTGGTCGAAACCCTTCTTTACATGTGTTCAAAAATACTTAAAAGTGGCAATGTTGGACGATTTGGGGCACGCCTTCATCCCCTTTGCATGTGTTCTACTTTTCATGTGAGACTGTGAGTGATGGACAGAGTCGGTTTGGGCTTGGTTTGCGTTAGTGGTAGGGCTTCGTGATCGGCAGAATGCCTGAACTTGAGAACTTTGTGCGAGGGCTACAAGCAGATACATGGAGATACCTATACCAGAGCAAGACCTTGACAACGTATGACAACGTATCAATCCGACATAACCCAACATATATGCGGAAAGTGTTCTTCTGTGTGCCTCTTCCTCGTGGAACCAAGTCGCACACACATCACCAAAAAGAACAATGGAGGCTCGCCGAGGCCTGACCAGTCACACGAAGAATTCTTCCAAAGCCAGACATTAAGGATTTTGTGGAGCGGAATCACAAAGGATTTGGAAAGCCCTTTTGTGTGGTTTGGACACCCAGCTGAGCTTCGCATCATGACAACAGACGAAGCAGACGGCACAGGTACATGGCACCTGAGCTCTTCGATTGCAAGACGAAGATCACCGAGAAGATCGACGTGTCTTGACGGATCCGTTCGACCAAGTCCGTCGGATCTTCCTTTGGCCTGCAACGATGCACAGAAGAAGCGCTTCTGTCAGAAGGTTCTTGGGAAGCTGCGAATCAACAGTCTTATTTTGGCTGCGGAGACAATGTTATAAAATGTTATAAATTCCCAGTGTTCCAGATTTATTGGTGTGAATGTCAATACAGTTTCCGTGCATTTGATCAGCGATAGATTCTTGTGCCAGCTTTTGGTCATACACACCTGCAGCCTGTGTTGGTTCTTTGCCTGAAGAAGCTGGGGTCGAATTTTCGACATTGTTGAATGAGCCGTTTTGGTAACCCATCGAGTGATATTTGTGGATTTCCTTGTTGGCTTTAGAGCTTTGAACCTGAGCTGCAAAGGTTTGGGCAATGGGATGCATTTTCGTCGAGGCCGGGCTAAGAAGCATCACAAAGAAGCTTGTGGGCTGAGATCCATTCATATCCATTTCAATCCGAACCACGACTCTTCAGAAAAAAAACGTGAAGAAACCTGGACCGGTGAAGTCTTCAGACCGTGGGCAGGTCCGTTGCGGACCTGTTTTTTTTTGCCGTGGAACCTTCCGTCAAGATCCGTTGCCGGCCTTTTGCTCATCGTGTGGATGGGATGCTTTCATTAGGTTTGTGGTGGACCACTTCCGTATGAGAAGATCACCACGCTTGCAGACCTCACAAAGGAGATGTTGATCAAGAGGCGCGGAAAGGGAAAGGGCTGATCATAAGTAAGGATCAATGATGATCAATGATCATTGCATCGTCAGTCTGCTTGCGAAATTGTAAGGCAAACTAGAGACATGGCTTCACATAGCACTGCGAACTTCTCCAGGAAAACTCCGAATGTTCCAGAGTTCATCACTGGACCCATGCGGGACATTTGCTGCAGGCTGGCAGGACTCAGCTAGACTCATCGACACAGATGTTGAAATATGTTGAAATCCATATTTCGCCATCCGAGAGTCTAGTAGTTAAAAGATTGCTTTTTTAAAGACACAAGAAGTGACAGGAGTGAGTTGAAAGACACGGATCGGGATCCAAGAGAGCACGTTCTTTTGCAAACAAATCAATCGCACCGTCGTCTTTGCCGAGCTTTGCCGTCCAGTTGCCTCAGCTTTCATTATCACGAGCGGCCCAGCAGCCAACGAGCCTTCGAGCTTTTGAAGGTGGGAGGTCGAGGTCGAGACGACACGTCGATGAAAAATCTTAGAGATCTTAGATCTTGTATGATCTTCTTTTTCTTTTTCTTCTTCTTTAGGCAGGTTAGGCCAGAGTAAGAGGAGGTTAGCTACTAGTAGACTTGGCGCTACTGAGTTTGATGCAGAAGGGCTCAGTCTTCTTCAAGGAAGCTCAACCATCAGGAGTTTCAAGAAACCAGCTTGTTGTGCTTCCAACTTTGGCGACCTCCCCAGATCTCACGATTAGCTTCACTGCTTTCAACCTATTTCACCGTCTTGCCATATCTCGCCATCTCGACAGGCTGCGAAGCGAGCTTGGAAAGAAATAGCTTAGCGCCCACTTGTGGCTGCTCTTGTCGAGTCACTCAACTATCTTCACTGCGGAATGTTGACAGCCTGAGATTTACTATGATATACTGATGCATATAATGCTAGGTGTGATGCTGTATTGATTAACTCGGATAAATATGTTCTATTAACGGGTCTAGCACCCACATAGGCTTGCAGCTTGAATTCGCCTTGCAAACAGATTGTGTGATTCCGAAATGTGTGGTCAGTGCAATTGTAGATCATCGCATGCGGTTCAAATTGCACGACTCCGTCAGAAGCCTGGTGCAACACGCGTGTTTTTGGCTTGTTTTTGTCGTTTGAATCACACAATCCGGCGTTTATAGAGCTCAGAGAGTCTCTGTATCACTTTGAGTTCTTAAACTCCGAATATGTTTTTTAATCTAGCTTTGCACAAAGATGAATTCGGCCCGCACCATGAGCCTAAGCTGCCTTGCTCTATACAATGCTGGAGGTTTGGTCGAAAGGTGATTTGATTCATTTGGTCGAAAGGCCTTGGTCATTTGATGTCATTTGTCTTTGGCTGTTTTGGTGCCCGCGGATGTGCACCTGCGGTGGGCGAAGTTTCTGCCTATGCTTTCGCAACAGCAAAATGGGTGTTTCGATCGGCGTGGGGCCGATCTTCAAAACCAATGACCCACGAACCAAGTTACATACATAGGTGTTGAAAGGGCAAAAAAACAGATAGGTCGAAAGGGCCAGCTGAACAATTAAAGAATAAGAAAAGAAACTACTGCAATATATAAAGATTCCAAAAATAAATATGTTTGTAGAACTTGCATTCAACTTCGATCTGATTTTCATCTCAAGGGGACGTGGGTGTGTCCCAGGGACTCATCTGGAGGAGAGAATGGGAATGTGGGACTTGGACAAGGTCTGTGGAGAAGAGCTGTATCGAATCCCAAAAAGCTCTCGAGTTGGAAATCACTTGAAAGTAGGTTGGAGGCCATTGCTAGTAGGTTGGAGGCCATTAATACTAGTAGCTAGAAGCTACTACTAGCGATGCACTTGTTACTAGTAGCGATGCACTTGTTACTAGGTTGGAGGCCGTGCCTACCCAAAGTCTTTGGCCGAAATGGTTGAGACCGACAAGATGCGCATGTCACAGGACCATGGGGTGCAGCTCTTCAGGCATCCCTCAGGAGAAGCGATGCATGTCGTTGTGTGCCACACAAACGGAAAAGCGTGGGGAGGATAAAGCAAGCTTCCAACCGTGCCCGCTACCGAATCTTCGGATTCATGTTGCAAGCTCCTTTGCTCCTAGTAAGGCCCCGAACGTAGGTTCTTGTTCCTAGTAGCTTGCTTGTACTGTCATAGCCTCGGGTTTGTACAATGTTGCATTTGTCGCAGCGCCTGCAAAGCGTGTCCCTATAAACGCGTTCGCATCGATACACAGATACACCGATACACAGACCGAACCACACCCATACACCAAGGGCTTAAGAATTCGGGTCTAGGTTTAGGGTTTACGGCATCGACTGGCGTCTCGTCGTAGTGGTGGCGTAGAAAGCAAGGCGTCCAACACCAAGAGCGTAATGGCGTAATCACACTTAAGGACACAGGTTGCATGCGTCGCAAGTTGTCACGGGGACTGGCCCGCCACAGAACTTCAGTTTTCCCGCACTCATCGAGAGCCAGGAGAAGCCCAAGCCTGCCGGTCCACGTGACCATACTCATGGTATTGGAACTTGTGAACAGGCAGGGCCAAAAGGTGCAAAAGCTCCACCATCATTTTGAAGGAGGCTTCAGTGTTGCTCTCATAACACATGTGATGCTGAATTGAAAGGAGCATCAAGGTATATTGAAGTTTCCAAGTTTGCCAAAGTTGGCCAACTTGGACCACGGAATTGTAAAGTAATGTGCCTGACCATTTCTTGCAGATAGCCATAGCTGAAAAGCTATCTGAGCTGAACAAGTGCATGATCCAGATTGGTGATCGTGACATGTCAGAGATGGCAATGGCAGAGCAAAAGAATATATGGACCTGGAGCTATAAAATAAGAAAAAGAGTCTGAAGAATAGAGAAAAGAAAGAAAAGAATGGAAGGGGCCCTGGAACAAGGCGGGGCCTTAGTAAACGGACTGTTCCCTTTCTCTTTGTTCTCAATGAATGTATTGTTGTCTTCTTTCATCTTCTTCCCTTTGTTCCTTCTTTTTGATTGTCCTTCAACGTCTCGCCGAGGATCTGAAGCGGAATGTGATGCACCGCAGCAGCAACAGGACTTCGATTCCTGGAAACACCAGGCAAAACGAGATCAACACGGGGAACAAGCTGTTGTTGAGTTGTTTTCTTCTTTCTTCGCAGCATTATTTCGCACAACCACCACGTACCTGATAGTTTTAAGATGTTGTGCTTCTTCATGTATAGTTTCTTCGACTTCTCCTTCGCAAGTAGTTCTTTTCTGTGTTTCTCCAACCCAGCATGATTCTCCATCGCAGATTGACGCATCGGACGTGGAAGCGCTCACAGAAGGGCAGACACTGCCCATGAGCCAGTGGCTTTGCTGTAATGAGCTTCGCATTTCACTTCCTGCCAGACTGCTCCTTCACTGCCCGATGTTCCAGGTGGGCAGATGTGCAGAAGGCCAAGAAGATGAATAAATCCTTGAGCACCTTGGAGACTTTGAGTCTAGAGACGTGCCGCGAAATGAGTCACCTTGAGACCTTAGAGACGTGCCGCTTTAGAAACTTTAGAACGTGCCGCTGAGCTGTGGAGCTGTGGAGTTTTGATCGTATGTTCACTCAGTCGAGCTGGTCGAAGATCCTTCAGCCTTAAAGAAGGCAGTGAAGAAAAGACGGATGGCTTTGGAGGCGTTGAAAGACCTAAGTTCAACTTTGTGCAGATCGTGCTTTCGAAGTTGCATGTGACGCTAGGAAGTTGCGACGTATCGCAATCAACTCCCAGAAAAGGAAAGGAGGGACAGCCGGTCAAAATCGAGTTGCAAAGATGCTCCAACTGAGGAGTGTCTTGGAATGCAACAACTGAGTAGTGCAACATTTGGAGTATAACTATTTCATGTGCATGCTGCCGTAAACCACTGGAGGAATGTTATATAGCTGAAGAACACGCTAAGTGCGGCCAATAAACGGTTCATAGACTCATAGATCATCATGCATGTTGGCGCAAGATAACGGACACAAGTTGTCCTATTGACAGGAACAGAATGACTGGACAAACCATAGAGTGCAGAAGCTGGGTCAGGGAGATTGATGCACATTCGAGTACTTTGTTCCAGTGAAGCACATTGGAAAGGGATGGAAGAGGGATCTCCAAGATTCTTTACTGCTTGGGCTCGTTACTCGTTCGGAACACGGAAAAGCTAGCTGCTAGCTCCAAGAAAGTGTCTCCTGGACCCAAGACCTGAATTGTGACGTGCCACACGCCAGGGTCAACTCCACCCGGTCCGTGCTGGTTAGCGTCCGATCGCTCCGTTCGTAGCGATGCCCTTTGTTCCTAGTAGCAAGAATGCTCCTAGTAGTAAGGCCAGGAGCCCCTAGTAGCTTCTTGCTTGCTCCTAGTAGCGATGCCAGGAGCCCCTAGTAGCATCCTCCTTGTGGATTCCACTTTGTTTGTCACTTTGTCCAAACCACATCCAAATTGGTCTGAACGCGCGCACATTGGCACATAATATTACACCCCATACCGCTCGGTACAATCTGAGAAGGAGCCTTTCAGCAATGGTAAGAAACTACAACAAATCTTAAAACCACTACTTCACCAGCCTGGAAAGTGCCCACTTCACAACCAGAACCATACCATTTCACCACCGTGCTTCACCTTCACATCACTAGAGAAAAGCATGGCATTGCACCAAGAAGCGTTGCACCAACGGTCAGAAACAACACTTTTCAGAAAAAGACCGTGTCGTAAAACTCCGGACCAGTCCCCGGAACTTCAGCTCGGTGTTCGTGTACAAGGGAGGGAGCGACACAGTGCTGGTCCGTCGTTGCGGTGCCCTGAGGCCAAAAGACCGACGCGAAAGGCTGCTCGAATGAAGAAAGCATTCCGATGTCTCACGAAGTGGAAAAGGGGATAGATATAAAATATAAAGGAAATATGAAACCTAAGAGCTATGGCCTCCAACCTACGGGAAACATGAAACCGTTCACAACCATTATGTTCAGTGTCTAGCATAGCTGTTGGCTTTCTCGGCTTTGCAACTCCCTTTTGGCAGGCTTTGAGGAGGTGCATGGAATCCGCTGTAGTGCAATGCTTCGCCTTTGTATAGAGCGAAGTGAGTGAATAGGAAGGGTGGAATTCTCATTTAGCAGAGTGTACAACTGTAAATGTGAAGATTAACCACATGATGTATAAATGTAATTCAATGTAAATTGGTGTTGCTAGGTGTTGCTTGGTCCAATTGCGGGTGAACTCCTTGATCATGGAGTCACCTGTGCAGCTCCCGATGAGGGTTTGCAACCTTGCAACCTTTTCCATGGGGCCGTTCTAAATGGCCCCATTGACTAGAGTCAAGCGACTTTTTGCTTGACTGGGCATGTACATTGGCAGGTATGCTTCCAAAACTACTCATTGTTGAGCCTGGTTTAACCACAGACAACCTTCTAGCAATCTTGTTGATGACCTGCAGCAGACCAAAGAACTCACGTCCAAGAAAAAGGGGCACGTGGGTTGCTCTTGAAGAATTTGAGACATGGCCTTGATTCAAGATATTTGTTTGATGCTCAGGGCAATGATCAGTGTTGGCAGAAGGAGCTCGTTTGTGTGGAGCACGTTGTACAGCTTTTGAGACTAAGTCGCCCTCAGATACCGTACCCCTTTCTTTTGTACCAGCAAGTCAGCAAGTTTACTATGCTTCCGGTTATTGGGAGGTATCCACGGTGGCAGAATCTTCAATCGTTGGCACAATCATTGCAATCCTTGCAGCTGTTTGGCATGCAATGTGCTCAATAGAATATGCGGTTGCAGCAAATGCGGTAGGATCATGCACATGCCATTCTTTGATTCAGATCGAACTGTGGTTTCATGTGGTTTCATCAAGGATGAAATTGAAGCTTGCGGTTTTCCATTTTGCCGAATGTGTCGAGAACTGCACCGGGTCCGAACACTGAATTGACTCCGCGCCGAGCTCTGAGGAAAATCAAGTAAGACGCAGAAACTCTGTCGTCGCAAAAGTCTCTTCGCTGAGGATGGGTTGCAGCCATAGCTGCGTCTCTCAACTAGTGATGCGCAAGGACTGGGCCACAAGGTCACACGGAGACAAACCCACCTGCCTTGATGTTAAACGCCTTTGCAGGTGTCTTTGTTCTTTCTTTCTTCTTTTCCTTGTTCTGATCATGAGTTTTTTCAATATTCCCCTGGTCTTTGTAACAAGCTAATCTTCTAATCGACCTACTGTACTCAAGGATGAGGGCCATACTTTTTGTCGACTACAAGTTGGCGAACGTGGCCAAGTTGCATTTGATGCGTTTGACGCACCGAGTGCTGCCACTCTCCCATGAGGCTCAGAAGCCGAATGTGCTGCGCCAGTAGTCAGGAGAGTCTACAACTCCTGGAAGCACGAGGCGAGCGATGATAGCGACGGCCTCCAACCTACTTGCAATGGCCTCCAACCTAATAGCAATGGCCTCCACCCTAAAAGCGATGGCCTCCAACCTACTAGAGATGGCCTCCACCCTAATAGCAATCTAAAAGAGAATACAAAATCGAGCCCAAGGAGTACTCCAGACTCCAGACCTATTCCTCAGGCTGAGCTGAGATGATGTTATGATGTTATGTGATGTCATGTCACGTAGGTTGATGCGACGGACCTAGAATTGATGGAAGCTGGACAATCCCTGCCAGTAAATCAGTGGCTTGGCTGATGTTTCATTTAGGTGTCACGCTGAAGCGGAAGATGTGCTGTGTAGTGCGAAGCAGCTGTGCTCGGAAATGTTCCCAGGTGGGTGCACACTTGCATGGAGCAGGAAATGAGCAAGAGTTTGAGTGTGGAGCTTGGCTTCGCATGTGGATTTTTTTTTCACTATATAGTCAGTACTGCTGCCTGTTGGTAGGGAAGTTCATCATGATGCAAGCATAATTAACCTCTCGACAGGATAGAAACGAAAAGTATAAAACAAATAAAGCGCAACAAAAAATGGTAAAGGCCATATTGAAGGGCCCTTACCTTCTGCTCACTGTGGGGAATGAGGCATTGTGGGCAACAGGATGTCTTTGAGGATCTCCTCTCCTTGAAGTCAACTGTACGAGGGGTTCCCTGAAGACTTTCAATGCAGGTTCCATTCAATCTTAAAAGGCTGGGATCCAGAAATACAGGTTCGAAATAGCCCATCGGCCCATCAGTGTACTCTGACCGGAAAGTTCTCACGCATTCACTGCTGCACTGCTGCACGAAGTTCTAGCATCACAAGGAAGACTTGTGCGCTCTTGTTGACATGGCTGCATCACTAAAATCTATACAACTACGGAGTTGGAAAGCCGGCAATACTCTCTCGGGTGGTTCGTCGATTGGGGCACAGCAAAGGGCTTTTGGCGCCCAGGTGATTATTTGCAAGATCCATCAAAATTGGAGAATGCCATTGCTACGAGGCGCTTGAAATATGAGGAGCCAGTTGGCAAAGGCTCTTGAGATCAACTTTCATGGACTGGACAGGATGCTGGAAGCCATGGTGCAGCAATATCAGGGACAACAAGCTATTAGGTTGGAGGCCATCGCTACTAGTAACAAGAAGCTACTAGTAGCAAGGTGCCTTACATGGACAGGATGCTGGAAGCCATTGTGCAGCAATATCCACAATTTGTAATTGTTGATCTTTGCCACTAGAAATGCATTCAACAAGTATAAGAAGACCGTGTGTCGGTTGTGTGGGCGATCACGAGCAACTGTCTAGGTAAAAGCAGGACTGATACAAATGGAATCCAAAGCATCTTTGTGATGTGTTTCTGCCAAAATGTTGTTTGGAGATTGCCTGAAGTGCACAGGCAGCTACCCAGTCCCGAGTAGGCAGAACTTTTGATACAGGTTTTACAGAAGACTCGCAGGTGCGAAAGATTGGTCACCATATGTCACCAGGCAGTGAGATAAACAAAAAGCGAACGTCCCCCAGTTGGCGTGACGCCCGCAACTGTCGAAATCGCGGCTTCGCGGCTCTCACCCTTTCTGTCAAATGCTATGCGGCACTCACGCTCAAACTGCAAGCATGATCCATAGTCGCAAGCATGCACATGCATGATAGTGAATGTCACGCATCCGTGCCAGTCAGACTGTAAACCCCCCAAGTGTTCTTCCTGCTTCCAGCATTCTCCCACTGTCCCAAGTGTTTGGACCACCCAACATATCTTTACACAGCACTTGCACCATCCAATTGCCTGAAGCCCAGCGCTAGGAGCTGCTTACAAATGCTGATGTGACTTGGGCCAGACATTTGTCTCGCGCCTCCGAGTCATGTTCTGCGAATCGACTTCCATGTATCCGAAAGATGGAAGTCGAAGCGCTAGCTGACTGGCCACTCCACTGGCCCCCCAAACAGCATGCTCATTGAGGTCGCGAACAGCCAGGCTACCACTGCTACTCGCCTTGAATTTGGCTGTTCTTTGGAACTGCGTGACGCAGAGAGTGACATCCCGACAAGCAGCTCACCAGTAGCGTGGTCATATGAGTCATGGTGCTGGTAGTTGCATAGCCAAGACAGCCCGCTCTCGGCCGTTGCTGAGGCGACCAACAGTGAAGTGGTATGCCAGGCGATCACGGACTCGGCAACTTGCTTCAACTCAACGCTTACAGCGAATGTGGCAACTGACAGCGACCGGCAATGTGAGGTTTTCGACATACAGTATCACCATGAGGCGGTAAATGGACCTTTCTCAAACAGGTTTTCTCGTCGGTTCCAATCTTCTCCAGAAGCACCTTTCGCCAAGAAATACCGCGTTTTGTTCTTCTATATCTGTGGCTTTTTGGGGTGGAAGGCTGTAGTATGCTGTAGTAAACTTACTAAGATGAGTTTAATTAGATTAAGTTTAGATTACTGTATTGCCGCGTTTAGTTCTTCTAGTAACTTAATCTGTAATTTAATTTGATTAAGCAGCTATATAGGCGCCAGGACGCACTCTTTGCTTTAAAGAAGCTTCCTTGAAGAAGCCCCTCGCATGATTGAAAAGGTTCCTAGATTTTTGGAGAAGCTTAACTTTCAATGTGTTTTTCCTCGTTTTATGTTTAACCCGCCCCTAATTAAGTAGGTGCCTACTGCCTACTTAACTAAGTAAGGGGGACGCAGGATGGCTCACACTTCTATTCATTTGGTTCCGAGGTCTTCAGGTAAAAAAAGGTGTTCATGCTTGGAAGCCAAGGATCAGAGTTCCAAAACGGCAGATTTGCTTCTGCAGCTGAAGAAAGGGAGACTTGGATTATGCAAAGAACGGGAGAGAGTGAGTGCATGCGTGCGTGCGTGGGTGTGTGTGTGTGTGTGTCACATCCTGTTTCAAATGATTTGAAACTGCAGGGGGACTGGAGCCGATTTGCCTATTCAGTCCAACGAAGCTTTGGCATTTCGGTGGATGAGTGGTCTGATCAACCACTTGCACCTGCAAATTTTAAATCGTTTCCTCATGTTTCACCTCTATGTTCCAACATGCTGTTCGACCCAGCACTTCTTACCGTTGTATCAAGTCAAGTGCTAAGTAATCACGTAGAGGGCTAACGCACTGGGAGATTTTCACTGATTCAGCTCTTGCGAGCCTTTATCTAAGTGTGTTTCGCCACAGAGACGGAGTCCCACTGTGGGCTGTGGTGTGATCCCCAGCGAGGAGCGCCGCATGTTTGCACATACCCTTAAGGTTGATTCTCCCTGACTCCTCAGATTGCACGTGAGTTTCTTTGACACTTCAGTGTTCTGCTCAAGATTGCTGAACACGCCGCAGGGCTTACTGACTATCTCTCAACAGAATGCCCTTCCATGCAGCTAGGTAGTCATAGGATGCAGACGGGACTGCTAAGTAATCAGTTTTTGGTTCTTTCTCTCCCGCTGTTGCTCTTCGTTTTCTAGGCTTTCCTTCGTTGCTAGAGGCTTTTTAGGTCTCAGGTTCTTTTTAGTCAAGTGCTAAGTAGTCACTCGTACGTTTCACCCTGAGTAATTCATGCACGGTCTTGCTTTCCTTCTTTCCGGGATTCTTTCCTCTTCTTCAGGTTTTCGTTCCTCGCTAGATGCTTTTTAGGTCTCAGGTAAACTTTTAGTCAAGGGTGCGCCGTTTACGGCTTTCTCACCAAGTGCCTTCGGGCCTGAGCCAGCCACCCCACCCCACCCCTCACACCCCCTGCGCCTTTTCTTTCCTGTCCTTGCCTTTTTCGTTTGTTTGGTCTTTCTTTCAGGCTTGTTAGGTCGGCTTTCAGGCTCGCTTCAGTGAATGCACACCCGGCCCTCCCCGCACGCCCTTGCACTTTTTCTTGTCTTTCCTTGCCTTTTTCGTTTGTCTTGTTCTTTTGTTCAGGCTTGTTAGGTTGACTTCCAGGTTCGTTTAGTCAACGCACGTCGGACCCCGCACCCCTGCTCCCCCCCACCCCACCAATGTGCGCCGAAAGACGGCCTTTTGTGTGTGTCGCATCCTGCTTCAAAGGATTTGAAACTGCAGGGGGACTGGAGCCGATTTGCCTATTCAGTCCAACGAAGCTTTGGCATTTCGGTGGATGAGTGGTCTGATCAACCACTTGCACCTGCAAATTTTAAATCGTTTCCTCATGTTTCACCTCTATGTTCCAACATGCTGTTCGACCCAGCACTTCTTACCGTTGTATCAAGTCAAGTGCTAAGTAATCACGTAGAGGGCTAACGCACTGGGAGATTTTCACTGATTCAGCTCTTGCGAGCCTTTATCTAGGTGTGTTTCGCCACAGAGACGGAGTCCCACTGTGGGCTGTGGTGTGATCCCCAGCGAGGAGCGCCGCATGTTTGCACATACCCTTAAGGTTGATTCTCCCTGACTCCTCAGATTGCCCGTGAGTTTCTTTAACACTTCAGTGTTCTGCTCGAGATTGCTGAACACACGCCGCAGGGCTTACTGACTATCTCTCAACAGAATGCCATTCCACGCAGCTAGGTAGTCATAGGATGCAGGCGGAACTGCTAAGTAATAGTTTTTGGTTCTTTCTCTCCCGCTGTCGCTCTTCGTTTTCTGGATTTCCTTCGTTGCTGGAGGCTCATGTTATTTTTTCAAGTGCTAAGTAGCCATTCGTACGTTTCACCCTGAGTAATTCATGCACGGTCTTGCTTTCCTTCTTTCCGGGGTTCTTTCCTCTTCTTCAGGTTTTCGTTCCTTGCTAGAGGCTTTTTAGGTCTCAGGTAAATTCTTAGTCAAGGGTGCGCCGCTTACGGCTTTCTGACCAAATGCCTGCGGGCCTGAGCCAGCCACCCCACCCCTCACACCCCCTGCATCTTTTCTTTCCTGTCCTTCCCTCGTTCGTTTGTCTTGTTCTTTCTTTCAGGCTTGTTAGGTCGTTTAGTCAGCGCACGCCCGGACCCCGCGTTGAGATTGGACATCCAGGGATCCTGCTTGCGGTGTGAGAAACCAATGATCACTTCATTGATGTGCATAACGTTGCCCAAACGCCAGTTCAAGCAACTACCTGACCAAAGCAAAGTGCTGCCACGCAGCTTTTTTGGTATTGTTGCTTCTGAGGCATTCGCTCGTGGTGGCGCTTTAGATAGCATGAGCAGCCCCCTTGTGACCAGTTTGCAAGGCCAGAAAACAAAGGCAAAACAAAGGGAAGCGGTCTTTAGAAGGTGTTGAGTGTCCTGTGCTTTTTCATTGCTCAGAGATTCTTGAATTTAAGAACAAAGATGCAGAAAGCTGGCAAGAATTGCAAGATGTCGCACATGACACCCCATCTTACTTTCAGGAAGCATCACTGGGCCAAGCCGTTGTTGAGCTTGACGTTGCTCCTGCTGCCAGCCCACCAGTACGGAACAAGGAACTTAATAGTTTTGTATATATAGTGTTCACATGTTACATGTTGTCACGGGTAGGGTAGAGTTTGACCTCCGAATAGATGGATGTGCTGGCAGTGACCTAAGTGAAACTGCCGTCGTATAGTGCAAGCGGTTCTTTTCCGCGGCAGACCTAGAAATTTTTGGCAGATTTTCATGTGAAAACCAAAGATTTGGACGAGAGATTTCGAACGAGGCAAGGGTCTCGTCCGAAACAGGTCGTTCCGCTTTGGCATGGTTTGTATGTGTCCTTCTGACCAGCTGTGAAGCAGCAAGGCCAAATTCACAACAAATCCCCAGGTTTTAATCTGAGCGGTGACTCCTCCTTTATTAGGAACTGAATGGTCTGACGTTGACCTCCAACATGTCCTTCACACATGCTGTTGCATGGTGAGGCAACATACCCACACGTCGAAAATCATGTTGAAAGTTGCAAATCTTAGAATCAGAGAAGCCTGCGACATGGAGTTTTTTTCCACATATGAGGTCAATTGGTCAACCATCCAGCATCTTTCCGATGCGCTTCTCTTTCCGCTAGCGCCATGAGCACGGCTACGCAGCCCGCGGATGCCCACGGCACATGGTACAGGGCACAAGCTTCGGGACCCACGACCCCTGACCGTCCGACCGGTCCCCTCTTTCTGTCGCTTTCGCCCCGGCGACCAACTGTGCTGGGACGGAAAATGACGGTCCGATGGGTAATGGGAAGGAGGGAGATCTCGGTTCTGAGAACGCAGATGATTCTGTATGATTTAACCCGACCTCACTTGGAAATAACGAGCTAAGTTTGAAAATAAGACCCATACTTTACTGTAAAAAAAGAACAAACTTCCAGGAGTCTGGTGACCCATCCGGGTGAAAAGCTTTCGAAAGGGTCATGGGTTCAGCCGAAGATTGGCTAAAAACACTTGAAGAATAACGGCATGTTGGAACTAGGGTTGATTTTGGCCATCCAAAAATGCCAGTTCCACAGTGTGAGTGGTTGACACGGGCGCAAGGGCCCCTCAGCAGTCTTTCAGCAGCAGCGCAGCAGCAGCAACAGCAGCAGCACCACCAGCTGCTGACCATGCGCGGGCCAGGGCACGTGGACAGGAAAGACAGGCGAGCAGGATTCGAACCGGTGTTGTTTAGGGGATTATGCCTTAGAGACGGGGGATGGTATCGCGCGGCTAGCCAAGCTTAAGCAAAGAGGGCAGCCGAAGCCACTCAGAAAGCAGCGGGCATGTGAGCCGGGGCGGGCATGGAGAGAAAAAATATTTACCCGGCCCGGGAAAGTTTTTTTTCCTGGCTTCTGGGTTCTATGGGCCGTTTCCCGGTCGAAGGGGCCAGCATCAAACAATCGAGTCAACAGCAAGTTGAGTGGCCACTGCCCTCTCTAGCCCACGAGTCCCGGTCAGCCTGGGTACCAGTGGCTGCCCCTACTCCAGTTTCGCCGGTGAAGGCCCAAAGTTACCCCACTGATTCGATGTTTTCTCCTTCAACTATTCCGAACTTCCGAATGTCTGTCCCCTGCCAAGCCTGCCTCGCCTGCGCCCTGCAGCGCCTGCAGCGACAGGGGGCGACCTAAAACAATTTCATAATTTCACCCAAGGTCACTAAATCAAGGTTTAAAGATATTTAAATTAAGCGACGACCTAAGAAATAACTCAAATCACGCAGATGATTCAAGTTAATTAGTAACAAGTGCATTACTACTAGTATCAAGAAGCTACTGGTAGCGACGCACTTGTTACTAGTAGCTTCTGGTTACTAGTAGTAATGCCCTTGTTCCTAGTAGCGATGCCCTTGTTACTAGTAGTGTCCAAAGATCTCAAGAGATGCCCAGGTTTGTCAAATCGACAATCCGTTGCATTTGGCTCAGACGAGCCGTGGTTGGCACACACAGGTGGGGGAGTGAATGTGAAAGCTAGGTTTTGGCTGAATTCATTTTGTGCTTCCAAAAGTCATATGTTTTTTCATTTTGGCTGGTGAACCTCAATTCTATCAGAGGCTTCTGCATGCTGAAGGATGTTCATCCAAAACACATCAGATGCACTCTATTCGTGTTGGAGAATCAGCTTCATCATGATCAACCTTCCCTTCTTGGCTTCTGCAATCATCCTGGCAGGCAAGGCTCATGTAGCAGCAAAGCTCATGGATTGGACCAAGAATGACACCCTGCCATCGCCAGGGCCTTGAGACGATGCAAGATGCCTTGAGCATCCTTGAGCCTTCAATTTCAAATACATGTTTAAAAACTTCAATTCCTTGATTGGTGATGATTGGTGTTTTTTGTTACTGAGGCTTGGCGGGAAGCCTGGGACCAGAGGAGAAGCTCGAAACGCTCTCGAAGATTGAATGCAATGGATCACGTTTGACGAAAGGATGGATGTGATCGATGTGATTGAATAAGTAGGAAACGATGTGATCGACGCCCAGCACATATCACGACTCACGACTTACGGTCAATTGGGTCGCAAGGAGAGATGCCTCGGATGTCCGGAAGCCCAAGCAGCATGTCCAGATGTTGGGCGATGGCGGTTTGTAGATCAGCGCTGGAGGTGTTTTGATTTGGTCAGGCGTGGAGGTTTGGCGCCTCTCAATACCTCCTCAAGTCACTTCATGAAGGCAGACGAGCAGGCGTGAGAGACTGTGTTGGCAAGATAGCCTTGCATCCTGTGGCAACATGTGGAAGCAAGAAGCAGCAGAGAAGCTGGTAATCACGATGCTTTTTCAAGCGTTTGCGTTCTTTGGGTTGAGTCGAAAATCATCAGCGATGGGGATTGACACGTCGAGCATTTTGAAGCAGAACAGGGAGAAATAGAGAGACGTTTGGAGATTCTGGCAGGGGCCGGTACCACGGAGCGCCCATGGAAATCGGCTGGGTGCGACCGAGAACATGCCATGGCACTCTTTTGAGCAATAGCCTCGCCGGAGATCTATACCTGAGTCGTTTGCCAAGTCCGAGGTACAGGTTTCGGAAGCACCTTAGGAAGTGGCACAGGTGCGCCAATCTGTGACGCCACGCCGCTCTGAAAAAAGCTACGCTTTGCTGAACTTTGCTGAAACACGCCACCAGGTTTCCAGGGGAGCTGGGACAAACAGCCGGGGGCCCAGTGACCATGTGATCCCAGTAGCCATATCAAGTGACGGCTTGGTCTTTGTGGCGGGTTCAGTGCCGTTCACCAGGCTTCATGTTGGCAAACTGCCGCAGCCCTTCGTCGGGGGCTCTGAATCAGGTAGAATCCACTGTTTCATACTTGTTCAGCTTACTCTCTGTGCAGTCATCCATCTTTCAGCTTACACTTCCAATCACTTCCCATAGACTCGCTTTGCAGATTTCCTCCTAACGGGAATGATTTGCACGACTCCTTTGTACACAAGTTCGGACCAGGGAGGGAAGCTACTAGTAACATCGCTACTGGGAACAAGTGCATCGCTACTAGTAACAAGGACGCTACTAGTGCATTCCTACTAGTAGCAAGAAACTACTAGTAACAAGGGCATCGCTATTAGTAACAAGTACATTACTGCTAATGTAACAAGATGCTTTGTTTATGTGCTTGGTGAGGCTCCATCTAAGCAGCAGCAACAGCTGGAGGAGCAGGCTGCCAGTCATGCCACCAGCTCTCGCGACCCAGGCCACTCAGTACAAAGTTGCACCATTGCCGTGCAGAATTCACATGGTGATATCTGAGGTTGATTCGGCTTCCCATCTGTTTTATGAAAAAGTCTCCCATGCGTTGGGGAGCCTTTTTCTGAGCCTTTTGTTCGCAGACCTTGCATGAGTGAATGACAGGCATTGCAAATTCTGGATCGTTCACTGCAAGGCAGATTCGATCGCAGATGGCTCAGCCACGGTGCTCATTGCATCAGTCAATCTCCCGCTAGGATTTGATTGTTCCCGCTTTGTTTTGAGATGCAAGAAGGGCGTAGCGTACTAATCCAAGGGCACGAGCGCAGCTCAGCAGAAGCCGCATCCAAAACTAAGGGTGTTTACGCCTTTCTGCAGCAGTTTGGGGAAGCAAAACAAGCTGGTGGTATATATATATATAGTAGGTAGTGGTTGTTGGTAGTCAAGGCTAAGAGCTAAGACCTTCAGTGGCAACAGAATGCAACAGATAGTTTTCAGAAGCCTCGCAAGAGCATGTTGTTTCCTTTTTGTTGATGTCAAAAGCATGTTGTGTTCGGTACCATTCGATACCCCTAACGGGCACATGGTCCGTGGTCATCCATTCCTGTATTTAGGTCCAGCGGAGCCCGAGATCCTTCTGGAGCCGCTCGGGGGAGTCTGACGGCACGGCCGTCCTCCAAAGGTGGCTCGAGCTGGGCTGCTCAAAAGGAGTGCGGCTCAAACAGCTGTCGTTGTGTGATTAACGTGTGTTTTTCGTTTTTTGCACGTTGAAGTAAATAGACACGTGTTGTCACCCATTGAAGCAGCAACATTGGCAAAGCCTGAGATTCGGTTTTGCTTCATGGTCAAACCTAGGTCTCCAAAGGAAACAAACCTCAGCGTTGGCCCGGGTCAAAGATATCACTGGAGCCTTCTGCCGCCTTCAGGAGCAGCTTCTCTCAGGCGGTGGAATGCTCGGGCAGCCGCAGCTCATTTCAGGCCGAATGACCATAAGATACCGTGACCTTTGGTCTCAGCATGTGGCTGTGAGGGGAACCACGAGGATTCACGCGACACCCAAGATGTTCACCACGAGGATGAAAACGAAGCCTTGGTCCTTTTAGGGGCCTTGTGCGGTGTGATGAAAGTGGAATCAATCATGTGACAAGTAGCTAGCAAATGGCCTACTCAACAGCTACTGAAGCTACTAGTTCTATATTCCATTTGCTACTTGTACCACCTCTTAAAGGCCAACCCCCTCACCAAAAGGCCGATATTTGAAGGTGTTTGTCCAGGTGTGTCCGCGGGATTGCTTACCCAACAACGAGTCCGGCAATTTAAACGGCTCTTCTTCCCCTATTTCAGGTGTGTCCATTGAATCTGAAGTTGGGGTTGTGCCATTCAATCTGCAGATGTGTTCAGACACAAAGCTGACAATTTTGAGCCTGAAAACACAGCTGTCGAGTCGTCGATTGCGCCAGCTGCGAGCATCCACAGTCAGCTCCAAGCTGAACGAGTGACTTGGAATCAGCGAGCTTTCTGGCATAAGTCCGGCTTGAGTGTCAAGGCTTTGCGGGTTTTAGGAAACCATTAACAAGAAGCTACTAGCTCCTGGCATTACTACTAGTAACGAGAAGCTACGCTACTAGTAACAAAGTGCATCGCTACTAGCAAGGACGCTAATAGGTGGAGGCCATCGCAAGTAGTTTGGAGGCCATCACTACTAGTAGCAAGGTCGCTACTCAAATGGCTTAAGAAACAAGGATTGCTTTGCATCCTATGA